ACAAAGACTTTTGTTATCATTTTCTAAAGTTTTGTGACAATAAGTTCTTCCTTGGATTAATCTTTTGACATTATTTTGCAAAGAGTTAAAACAATCTCTGGTGGTTAGAGTCTTGACAGGAGTGATTGATTCTCCAAACCAAAAAAAGAATAATGTCAAAAATGTACCTGTGCATTCACGAGGACAGTTGTTGCCATGTTGTTGGCTGATTGCAGAAATACGCGAAGGAAGATGATCTCTTCTTCTGCATTTCTTGAATTTTTTTTTGAATTTCTTAAACCCAACACCAGGTAGATTCTTCTTCTCCTTCTGTTCTTGCATGTACTCCTCATACTTCTTACAAAACTTCATTTTTCACAATCTCTGAATAGGATATATGTGAAACGTATAATCAACAAAACACACACTAGAAAATGTTAAATTTAGATGACCATCAACAAACTTAGCCCTGAACAAACAGAATCTGATAAAAAAAACTATAACCCTGAACAGTTTTTTCTTTTATTTCTCTTGCGTCTCGTGTTGGTTTTATTATGAGAAAAGAAACAGAGGCCTATTTATGAACAGAGGAAAATAAAAAGCTGGTGAGGAAGGCTGAAAACAATTTTGTTATTAAAAATGTGTAAAAACGAAAGCAAAAATCAAATGTTTTTTGGGGAAACATATCTCTGTTTAAAGGTGTTATTTGTGTTTATTGTATTCAGCAAAGAGATTGACTACTGGTTGATTTCAGTTTCATTTACTTCCTTTAATTTCTTAAACATTAACGCATTTGACTATAAGTGCTTCCTTGGATTAATCTTTGACATTATTTTGTCATTCCTTAACGCTGTTAAAATTCTTACGTCTCTTCTAATTGACCAAACTAGAGTCTTAAACACAGATGGTTCTGCATTTCAGGTATGCAATGACAGGAACGTTGAGCACAAAGAGTCATGTCTATAGTTTTGGCATTTATCTTGAAACACTATATTATCATGGTTGGTTTGAAAATATTTATTTATTTGAATATTATTTGTGTAATTGTGATTTATAAATTTATTTTAATTTTATAAGATCACATTTTGGTGTAATAGATCTTATAACTTATTAATTATCTGTAACAAACATTTCTACAATACAGATTAAGGTTGTAAATCTGTCATGGCGTTGTTATATCTAATAGTTTCTGGGTATAAACATCAACTCAAGATTCTAGAACCTATTCTCTAATATCATTAAATACATACTTAGTTGTTAGTAAAATGATATCAATTGATTATAAAACCAAAAAGAAAATTTGAATTAAATGTAATTAACAATATATTTTCACAAGAAACCAAAAATAAATCATAAAAATAATTTAATCATAACTAAAATTTAATTAAGTTTTCATCCATTTCAAAATTGTGGTCAATGTTCCATATGTATATTTCAGATATGAAAATTAAAACAAATTTTGATTTGTCGAAACCCGGGCCAAGATTCCCACCCTAAAAAGGTAAAAAAACATACTCCCTCGGTTTCAGTTTAATTGTCATTCTACGTTTTTGCACACAGATTAAGGAAACATTTAATTTTACATATTTTCAAGATAAAAACACATTTACCTATACACCTAACCATTTTTTAACCAATAGAAAAATATAATATTATATAAAACTAATAAATTTTGCCTCGAAACTCTAAAACGACACTTAATTTGTGACAAAAAATTAGTCATAGAATGACAATTATTTTGAAACGGAGGGAGTAGTATACAAAGAGATTTTCAACCGGCTCCCTTCCGATGAAAATAAGTAAAAGTTTATACTTAGACCGAAAACTATAAAAATATTAAAGGGTTACTTAACTGAAAAAATCACAATTGTCTCTATAGTGGTATAGCTGATAACACAAAAAGATCGAAGCAAAAATGCTACAGTGACGATAGATATCTTCTCACCTCCAGGTACCTATACATACATTATGAAATAAATAAACATATTTCTATTACTAATAACTTTTCACTAACTTATTTTAATTAATTTTCAGGCCACAGTTCAAAAAACTTACACCCCATCTACATCCTCTACCTTGAGAGTACCACCTGCTTCTCCATCATTAATATTTTCCTGTTGTTTAAGATTTTATAAATTTGTTCTTCACGATTATGAAAACTATCATCTACTTCTAAACATTCTTACACCAACGCTTTTATTTCTTAACTGGTCTATTATTCCCACAAATTTAATTTGTGAAAATCAAACTCCAAACATTACTTACTACCTGCTTTTTCAATACGAGTTCTTTGGCTGAACATTTTCCGCAGTTATTAAAAGATATTATGTATAAAGCACATGCTAACAAATATTTGCATCTCGGGTTTCCAAAATTTTTAATCAACACTTTTTAAAAAAAAAAACATAATCACACAACAAATGATTCTTCTCCTACAAAATAACCCGGGCGTAGCCCGGGAAAAGGATCTAGTTTATATAAAGAGTGTATTCGATAAAGCAACAAAGATAAATTGTAAATTAGATTTAAGATATAGAATTAAATTAAACCTAATTACGAAAAAACAAAGAATTTTGATTTTTAAATAAGTTCATAAATTATAGCGTTTAAACTGTGTTTTATGAGTTTGAGTTCACGAACAACCCTAGTTCTGAGAACACTATGTGTATATCAATAGATAAATCCGATCGATCACATGTGTATGTAAAAACCAAAATTCTTATGTACAGCAATTTACCATGAAACTGAGATTTATCGAATCCACATCGCTCATTATTATTATTATTATCAATTGAGAATTGGTCACTGCTCCTTCCACATTTGGTGCATTATTCACGTGAAAATAAATAATGAAACATCTGTTCCACATACATGAAAAATAGTCACTACCAATTTTCTGAATTACATAGTAAAACCAACGTTAAGAACCAGAAGGTAGTATTGGCCTCAGTCATGGTTAACGATTTCACAAAATTATTGAGAGCCTTCGAAACGACAAAATAACATTTTTCATACGAAACGCTCAAATAAATAAATTAAATTCAAAAAAGAAATCCTCATAAGAACTTTTAACAGAGTCTGATGCATGCATTAGACAAAAAGGACACCAGAACTAAAAACTGAAGGATTGGGACAAACCATCCTTTGTCATTATTTTTGATTTTTTTTCAGAAATGATCTCCTTATTTCGAATAAGTGATTTAGAACTCTGATTTTTATTTTCCAAAACGATTTCAAAAATAATAACAGGACATAGAAAATAATATCAGATAACGTATTGCCAAGATTGGACTGCTGACGCTGAGGATCACTGACACTAGTCCCAAACTAGTAATGAGACATTATATATTCGTGTAAGACGTTTATTTAGCTATAGCCGTCTCGTGTGCTTCCGAATCTTCACGACGACCGAGCAGCAGCAAGTAAAAGGAACGTAACATTATTTGCCTGTTCATTTTTCCGCCTTAATCTGATGTTTTTGTACACAAAACATTGGGATCGATGCTTAGTTTAAACTTGCATTCTTTTTGGGCTTATTTTTTCTTGTTTAAAACTAGGCTTCTGTTTGGGCTCAGTAAAAAGTATGTTTCTGATGAATCTTTTGCTTCTTCAAGTATAACATTAACATCCCTTCTCACCTTTCAGTTTCTAACCTTTGGATTTTGTAAGTTTCTAGTTTTGTGTTTACGGAGCTTTAACTTTAACTAGCATCTTGATGTTTTCATCTCTAACTCGAAATGTAAAAGATAACGTTAGAATTTACAACGGAAGCCTTCTTAAAAGCTCATATGGACAGCCTTGTACAAGAAATAACATAAGAAGGTAGGTTTTCGCCTTTACTTTACTGGACAATCTCTTATAGAAATAAAGTGAGTTTTTCATATAGCTGTGCCTAAAATTATGGATGGGGATTTGCATATCGATTCATTCCACAGTATTTGGTATCCAGTCCAATTAAGGAAATGGTCAAGAAGTCAAAGGATAATAAAAAAGCAAATAAGCTCGAAGTTGCAGTGCAGCCAATCAACAGAAAGGCAAATGCAACTTTTCAAATAACGATATACTAAGGATTAAGGAACGAAATAGAGTTGGGTTTAGGACATTGTTTTCATTTATATTTTCATTGATGAACAAAAGCTTGTCTTAGTCTAACAACCACTTAAAGTCCCTGCCTAGTCTAGAGCTCTGTTAGAGACTTTCTCTCTCTCTCTGTGTCACAATGATCAGCAACAACTATCACGGGTAAGGTGGCCAGCAAGAGGAAGCAACGACCATAGGATTGTTGTATTGATCAATACCGTAAATTTGATCCTCCAGGCTCCAGTTATTTGATCAGTGTTTAAATTTTCCATTCTTGGAGGAACTATCACCACTGAGGGTAGCTCCGTCGTGTCTTCCCCACCGGATATCTGCTTCTTGATCAGTCGTCCTTGGTCACTTAGTACAGCTCTCAGCTTCTTGACCTGCGTCGCAATTCAATTTGTTGGAGGGGTTCTCTTTGATAAAAATCAGAACTCAAGGGACAAAAAAAGAAAGAGTCAAAAAAAAAAAAAAAAAAAAAAGAAAGAGTCAATAATATTTAAAACAATGCAACGTGGTACACAGACCTCCTCATGTAGCATCTGCTTCTCTCTAGTAACAGCATCGTACTATTGCCTAAGCGAATCGTACAGCTGCTCGAGCTGCTTCGCCTTCCACCTTGCACGGCGGTTTGGAACCAAACCGCTATCTGACGTTGCTGCAAACCGAGCTCCCTAGAGAGCTTCAGCGTCCTCCCTGAATCTAGTTTGATCTCTTCTTGAAAACTTCGTTTTAGTGAACCTAATTGTCCACTCGTTAGTCTCTTTTTCTTTATCATCTCGTTCTTGTTGCTCTGAAATCTGTACGCATTGATGATCTTTTCTGATTCGGGTACAGATATAACCGGTCCGGTCTGCGTGACGGCAGGTGCGTGTGAATTTCCTGATGTAATACAACAAAAGTTTTTCCCGTTAAAGCCTAGAACCAAAAAAAGTTGGAAATTATTTGAAACTTAAAAGAAAAATTTCCATATTAGTAACAAATATCCATGAGTTACGAAAAAACATTCTCATTCTTTTGAAGATTGAGCATAAACGAATCTCAAACTTTCAAAACTAACGTTTTAACTTGTTTAATTTGCATCCCAAGAAGAGACAAAGTACTTTGAATCCCAATAAGAAGAAAAGGAATTAAATATTAAATTTTCTCGACTGAAGATAAGAACATCTTAACTTTTCATCTCAGAAGGTTTTTAGGCAGCATATCCCAAGGTCTTTGGAATGATGCTTCGGAACATTTTCTAAATATAGATCGCATACAACCAATCGAAAATAAAAATAGAGCAGTTGAAAGTGGGGAAATAAGTTTTTGTTTTGTAGTCCATGAACTTGTCAAACGTGAGACTGTATTGGCATTTACAACATACACCAACATTTAGGTGAAATGTATGGATTGAAAACCTTACCCCAATACAACAAAGCCATAAATGAGATAGGACCATGTATACAACTAAATCAAAGAAACAAAAGCAACTATATATAATATATGCAATTACATATAAGAACATGGTTTATATATAGAGATGTGTGCATATACCTGCATAAAGATCATAGTTGAAGCTATGAAGCGAGTTAAAGGAGCTCGAGTCCGGCCATGGCGGCGACATAAAAGCAACTATCACGTTTTCAACGTTGCTTGTCATTGACCATTCCATTATTTTGTTTTCTTTTCAGTTCTTGTGAATCTTTGTATACATAAAAAGATACGAGAGATGGCTAACAAGCATTAACTTTGTCGATCTAATATAAATGGAGAAAAAAGAGAGTGAGATGTATATGTATTCTGTGAGTTTTTTCACCTAACAGGGAGCAACCCAACAGTGCCTTTTGTTTAGGAATTTAAAGATCGAAAAGGAAAGTGTGATGTAGTTTTGTCTTTACGTGCACATAATCAATCGATCATCCATCATCTCTCAAACGTTGATATAGGTTGACATATTTTGTTGCATTCAAGGGTCAAACTTGGAATTCAAGAATATTTCGGATATCTATTTTTTTCTTTTAAATTAAGAAAATGATTTACATAACAAGAATCTTCGTTTATATATGTTGCTCTAAGTTTGGAACACGATGTGAAGTTGTGAACCAACCCAGGCAATTTGGAGGCAATATGCGTTTTTAGATTACGAAAAAATTGATCTAAGAGGTTCTAATACATTAATTTATTCTTAAAAAAGTATACCAAATTTCTTAGGATTATATTAGAGAACAAATGTTAGAATAATTTTAGAAAATTAATAGCCGCGTGTGAAATGCACCAAACATTTACTTCGAAAGATAGTAAACCGATAAATGGTAAATTACGTTTTGTCTGGATTAATTTATTTAACGGATCTTCTAAACTTGAAACTTTTAAACATTTATACATAATAATCTTCTTCTGGGCATGCCAATAACATTAAAACCACCATCTTAATTGACTGATTTTATAGACGTCGACAAATAAATGTAGCTGAAAAGAAAACTGAAGGAACATTTATGAGATTTTATAAATATTTGTAATTTCATCTATTAATATATGTTGGGGTACTTATTTTTGACAAAGTTAAGCTTAATATATGTTTTGTCGTATATACACCATAATCTACTTTATATATATACTAGGGTCGGCCGCCCGGGTTTTTCGTTGAAATTTTAATTATATATATTGTATGTTAATTTGATATATAATTATTATAATCTATTATAAAATATAAATAATTAGACAATTATATAATTATTTTTAATTATTAATTATTTATTATTTTTTTTCTTTCGAATTTCAAGAATTTTAATATCTAATGTCATAGATTATCAATATGTGTTTTGTATATAACTGTTTTGTAATGTGGCTCGTCTCGACTTTTGTTTATTTATTTGTTGTGTGTTTTTATTTTATTTCATTTTTTTATAAAATATTGTTTGATTATTTATAACTCATTGTTTACTGTTTGAATCTTTTTTGATAATTTTGAATTTGATCTTGTTTACCTAAAATGAAAAGAAAATTTAGTGAGCAAATCTTTTTTTACTTAGGTTTGATGAAACATAAAGGAAACCAATATGATCATAGATTTTTTGTCTTTCCAAATTTTTAGATTTCTTTATTTATTTTGAATATGTCTAAGTATTCTGTAACTTCTACTTAACTATTAAATCTTTATTAAAATTTTCACTAAACACAAGAAAAAAAAACTTTTCATTTGACTCAATTGATAAAGATTATAATTATCAAATTATAATTAAATTATAATTAGTCTATTTTTATATCTTATTAGTTCATGATTTTTAAATTATTTTTCATAATGTATTAATTGTTAATTATATTAATATCCTTTTGTATTATAGGCTAATCTTATATTTGGTAGTAAAAGGGGAACCAAAAATATGTGAGATTTAGTATTTTTATTTTCTTTGGTATAAATATAATGAAATGTATAAAGATTAATAGCGTAAATTGTTTTATCCTCTTTATCATAAATTTTATTTATTATAATTATAGATTTATTTGTTTTACTTTTATTATATATTTTCACTAAATGATTATTTTCATAATAATTTTAAAATTTTTATTTATTATAATTATAAATTTATTTGGTTAAATTATATTATGTATTTTCACTAAATTATTATTCTTTTAAGAAAAATATTAATGTCAATTTTATTGGTTTGATTAAAAATAAAATATTAATTATAATGGTTTAGAAGTTATTAAATTGTTTGAAAGTTTCGGTGGGTGTATTAAGGGTTCACTTCATATTTGTTAGGGACATGCTATACAGATCAGTGTGATATAGTTGTGTATTTTTGCAAGTTCTATTCTCGAGTCTATGCTATTATGTGCTAATTTTTCTCCAACTTATTCTTAGAAACTATCAATCAAGTGGAAAGATATTTACTTCCATTTACTTTGTACTAGGTGACCCACCCGCACCCTGTGCGGGTATAAAAATATAGTAAATGTTGAGACATAAGTATCTATTGAGTTCAAATGTGGGACTTAGTGGAACAAGTGAGAGTTTCAATGCTGAGACAAGATTTGCGCAAATCTCTAGGAGGCAGTAGAGGTGGGCAAATCGTTACATTTTCGGTTTGGTTTGTTTAGTTCGGTTTTAATATTTTTTTTTCAACTGAAATAAACCTTATTTAGTCTGGTTCGGTGTGGTTTATGTCTAGTTCAATTTATATTCAGTTCGGTTTGTTTTTGGATCGGTTTAATTAGGCTCTTTGTCGCTTAATTTTTTAAAAGAAAAATTATGTTTTAAAATATATACACAAAAAAATATGTGAACTAAATTCAATATTAAACTGAAACAAATACTAAAAAAGTCACAAAAAGTATATAAGAATAAAACAAATGAAAGTTAACAAAAGTAAAAAAAAAAATTAACATCATTAGTATGTTTTTAATAAAAGTTAACTATTAAAAAAACAAATGTAAGTAAGATATACAGGAGACAGTGACATATTAAAAATGTGATAAAAATCTCATAGATATCACAATCCCATAGAAAATGTGATGAAAGTTTAAATATAATTCATAAGTAATATAAAATAAAAAGAACATTTATGAATAAAAAATCCCATAGAAACCTGCAAAAAACTGTCAATTTTTTTAGCAATTGTACAATATAAAATAATTTAATAGATTTTTAAATTTATTGAGACGAAAATAATATTGAATTTGCATATCGCTATTGAAACAAACTGAAAAATGGTTTGTAATCAACTACAAACGATCTTTCATCTGTGTTATTTATCTGTTAATATAAAAACAAACAAATGTATATATATAGTAAATCACATTTTTAAGATCCATATTTATATATATATATATATATATAAATATAATTAAGATAATAGTTTTGGACTTTCTAAATCTCAAATCACCATTATATTTGTGGTTTTCTAAATGGATAATAGTTTTAGGCTTTTCTAACTCAAATCACCATTATCATATAAATTTGTCCAAGGTAATTGATAGCAAAATAAGGTAATCATCATATTTCCAAATTAACTAATTAGGAAATAAAGAACATACACATTAATGCAATATCAGATGTATATAGTTACTAATAAATGACATCATAAAAGAACAAGAAATTTACTTATAGACATATATTTTCACAAAAAATTAACTTTTAAATTTGTCAATTAAATGTATATTTAAAAAAATACTTCCTAAAAAGATTATTTTGTTTAGAATTATAATAATAAAAAATTCAGAATATATCAAATTTAAAGAATAATTATGAATTAATAATCATATTTTATCATTAAGTCTTATGGTTCCTGAAATATTTGTTATAAAAATTCTTGTAAAGACATTTCTTGAGATATATAAAGTCTTATGGTTCTTGTAATATTTGTTTTCTTTTAATAAACATGAAGCAATTAAAGAAAGATATT